CCTCTGTCTCTCAAGTGCTGGGATTAAAGGTGTGAGCCACTATGGTCTGATTAGACCTTTTGAATCTAAAATAAAAGTATTTGTTTTTGTAAAATGAATTGCTTTCTGATGTTTAATTTCTATATTTAAATTTTGTTTTGTATTTTTCAGACAGGGTTTCTCTCTAGTTTTGTAGCCCGTTCTGGAATTCTCTCTGTAGACGAGGCTGGCCTTGAACTCACAGAGAATTACCTGTCTCTGCCTCCGGAGTGCTGGAACTAAAGTTGTGCTCCACCACTGCCAGATTATATTTAAAAATTTTAAAGAACTTTGTTATAATGAAGTCAAAGTATAAATTTATCTATAGTGTTTTTTATTAAAAGTCGTTTCTTTTTGCTCTTTCCCTGTCTATCCACCAAGACAGTAATATATAAAAGTTAAGCCTGCCTTCCCTCCCTCTCTCCCTGCCTTCCTCCCTCCCTCTCTCAGAGATCTTCCTTACCCTGCTTTCCAAGAGTGCTGGGATTAAAGACATGCACTACCACCCCCTGGCCGGAAGCATACATTTTAAAGTTATGTTCCAGTGCTAGAATGTTGAAGAAATAGCTACCATAACATTTTGAGCTTATTTGACTACAGTGTTGACTAACAGGTTAACTGTATGCTGTAAAACAATGTTTGTTCTCATTGGTCCTGTGTGCTAGAAGAACTATAGCGTTTAAAGCCTACCTCTAAATGATGCTACCATTCTATTCCATTTCCTCTTTTATTTTCTTTTTTATGGGCAGAGTACTTCAAAATCTACCTCCACAATGCCCTTTCTAGGTCTAATTCTCTTTTTATCATTTGAGGGGGAAATAGTCCTCAAAAGAATGCAGCTTTTAAGTCTTATATTTATATAATTTATTAGACCCAGCATTTTCCAGTTTTCTTTTTATTACAGAGAGTGTGTGTGTGTGTGTGTGTGTGTGTGTGTGTGTGTCCCCGTCTGTGTATGTGCGTGCATGTGCTTCACTGATTGCATATGGAAGTTAAGGAAACTTGTGGGAGTTGGTTCTTTCATCATCCATGTGGGTCCTGAGGATTGAACTCATTTGGTCCACCAGGCTTGGCAGCAAAGTTATGTGGTCAGGCTAAGATCTAACACTTCTCCTCCTGTGTAGGTCAGGTATTTAGGCACTGTTTAGTCACTACTTTGCAAGAGCTTCTCACAAATTTGTCTGTGTTCATAAGCTAGACCTTAAAATAGAATAGATAGGTAGAAAAGATAATAGGTAGATTAAAGCAGAGATAGTTTTAATATGATAGGTTGGTCTATCCAGGGAATGCTAAGTTTTATTTATTTGTCTTGAGTTTGAACACTGCCTGAGGTCGATGCTTGCCCTCTTTATAGCAGTCTGATACATTAAGTTGTTAAGGCCTTTTTGTTTTAGATATTAAGCTCTTGTTTAAAAGTGATTTAGATTTATTTCAATAGTTCAATTTATTTTTAGTTTGTTGGTCTTTGGGTCCAATTATAAAATAATTATAATTATTCATACTGAGCTTTTTCCTTGAGTGTTGTGATTTTTTTTTATTTCTAGATTCATGGAAAAGCTGTTAGAGCAGTACAGAATGTTTGTACATGCATTGTGAATGTCCTGTTCACTCAGCTTCTCCTTATGCGAACAGATCTAAGAATCTTCAGAAGTCACTTTTCTTACCTGGGTAGAATAAAGCAATGCTATAGTGCTATAAAATAGGCATCTCTTCAAGAAAAACAAACACACTTCCTCCTTATACCGTACTTTCTGAAGTGGACCTGTGATACACTGGTAATTTTTTTTTTTCAGCATCTCCCCCCCCCCCACCACCACCAATCAGGGTTTTCTGTGTGTAGCTTTGGAGCCTACCCTGGAACTAGCTGTATATGACTTTACAGTGATCCTCATGAGTTATGGAATTAATGGCATGTGCCACTACTGCCCAGCTCAGCGTACTTTTTTAAAACCCATGTTGGAAATATGTTTTAGAGCCATGTATCTATGTAAATCGCTCCTTTATTCCTCATTCAAGCTTTCTTTTGTACAAAAGCTTTCCGTGCCCTTTGCTGTTATTTCTATAGGTTAACGGGGACTTTTCCCCAGTCCTTTGACCATTGGTGCTTCCTTTTGTTGGTGACAACAAAGCTAATTTGGGCTGGAAAACTGTCTGTTACCCAGTTAGGCCTTGTGCTCAGTGCTGACTCGTGTTCTTTGCCTCATACTGTGTCTTAGCAGAATTCAATATGCAGAGGTTTACAAGCATTCCTGTGTAAAACACAAGTACCTCCTGCCCATTGAAGTTACTATTACAATTTCTCCTTTGAAAGTTTATTTTCCTTCTTGAGACAAGATCTTTTCTTACAGCCTCAAGCTTGTGATTCCCTTCCTAAATGTTAGATGTATAAGAATGCAACATCATATTTGGGTTGACCAACTTACAACTACCTGTACTTCCAGTTCCATGGGAACTGTTGATCTCTTCTGGCCTCTGTGGGTACAGCACACCTGTGGTACACAGATATACATGAAGGCAAAATACCCATATTCATACAAACAAATAATAATTTTAAAATAGACAGAATAAACTAAAGACAGTTCTGTTTATTCATTTGGCCATGTTATCAGGTGGGCCAGTTATTGTATGGAACTGCTTTCTGCTTTGGTGCTTTGTATGGTGGGCTTCATGGCCAGGGAGATGAGGAAATGCACCCTTTTTAAATTTTGGTTTAGTAAGAAAGTCAAAACTGAGAGGGTATTCCTGTCAGTAAATTATAGAACAGAGAGAGATAGCCACAAAGGGAAAGAGAGCTCACAGGCCAAGTGTCTCCTGTTGAACAGGTAGGTGCCAAAGCTCTACTCACTAGTCCTCTCTTTCCCTACCCAGCAGTCCCGTTACACACAGATCTCTCCTTGCTGTCATCAAACCTCAAAGTCAACTTTGTTCCTCCTTGAAATTTTCTATATGCCTAGTTGCTCTTTAAAAATATCTGTCTTAAATAAGCATAAAAGAGTTTCATGAGAAGAACTTGTGTCAACTTGTGTCAGTATCTGAGACTTGTTACTGATGCCCAGTAATACCGATTTGTTTCCATTGTTGTTGTTCTAAGTTATTTTAAGCTTCCCTAAAATCATCACTTTTGGAGATGCAAAAAGTCACATTTAAAAAATGTTTGTTTATCCATGCATATGCCATAGCACACATGTGGACATTAGGATAACTTAGAATAGTCAGCTCTCTTTCTACCGTGTGAGTCATGGGAATTGTGCTCAGATCATCAGGCATGGTGGCCTGTCCCCTTACCCTCTGTACTATCTCCTAAGCCAAAAGAGTCATATCTTTTAGTTTATGCATTGTGTTTTAGGATCCATAGTACTAAATACATAGTAAATATCCATTGTTGATCTTTCATTGTGGATTAAATGGGTTTTTTTGTTATTGTTGTTGTTGTTGTTGGTGGTGGTGGTGGTGGTGTGTGTGTGTGTGTACACGCACCTATGTGAGGGTCAGGGGGCGTAACCTGTAGGAATCACTTCTTTCCCTCCAATGAGTGGATCCCAGGAATGGGAATGAAGTCATCAAGCTTGGATGTAAGGGTCCATAGCCCCTCAGCAATTTTGTCTGCTCAGTTATTAAGCAAGGTTTCATATATAAACTTACTCTATATGTATATTCTTGAGGATAAATATAGAAGTTGTTCATTTGAATTTACACATTAAATGTGAACTACAGAATACTTTGGAATGATGGGAAGCAAAGGAGTCTATATTGTGGAAACCACTACTATGGATTGTATTATTAATAAATTGGTCAAATGCCCTGATATAATGTTGGTTGAGATAAGAGTTGCTCAGAAATACTTTATTCTTTAGATATGTGCTTATCATAACTGATGTCACCAGTCTCTTCTGCTGTTAAACATGTCACAAGACCCCATGTCATCTTTCTCCTTTCTGTTTCAAATACTCCATCTCTTTTGAAATAATTTTCAAGAGTTTTGTAAAAACTATGTTTTGTAAAAGCTATGTTTTGATTTTAGCCATGAAAATGAGGAGTAAGTTTACTTTAAATTTTGAGACTCTGTTAAATCTGAAAATTATTTCAGGGTAGTAAAAGCTTTGTGGTAGCTACAATATCTTGTGAACAGGAGATTTGTTTCCAAAATGGCACATCTTAAGGTTCTGATATTCTTGGAAAGTGGGAGCCTACACACATCAAAGAAGGCATTTTTATTACATTGGATTATGCAACACTTTGGCCAGCCTCCTTAACTCATCTGTTTAAGGGTTCATTCTTGCTTGTTTGGCACAGGTCCCAGTTAGAGGCCTTCATACTTGTGGTTAGCAACATGAATGAACCACACACTGTGGAGGAGCTCTTCAGTCAGTGGAACTGGCTTCCAGCCAAAAAGGCAGCCCTGTATATGGGGTCAGGGCAAAGCTGTGATTGGCTGAGCTCTGCATTGTATAGAAAACATACTTGTGATGCCTGTTTGCTTTCTTTTAAAATAAAAACAAAACAAAACATCACAAGCAGCAGGCTTCCAAATCTGTCAGAATAGGAAGTAACAAAACCCTGCAGGTTTTCCTGATGGCAGGGCTAAGCAATAGCAAACACGGCTTTGAGCAGTTCAAATACTAGAAGTAGAAGTTGAACCTTTGACCTCCACAGCCAGCTTGTGATGTAAGAGAGGCAGCATTTGTTAAACATCTGTTGTCTACCTGCCCGATTTTCTAAATGGTTTAATGAGATTAAAGAATTAGTTCTAATTCTACACGGTTACCATAGTACTAGGTTTATTGTAGATTAGATCCATTCCTTAAAAATATTGTAGTTTTCAAAAATTGTCATATTAGCTGTTAAAACAAATCAATTATTTTTTAGAAGGCCAGTATTTCTGTTTGCATTCTGAGATAGAGAATGCTGCTAAGACTACAGGAGGTAAACTATTACTGCATTTTCAGTCTGACTTACTAATTATTGTGCTTCTTTTCATATAGGCAAATACCCTTTCTGGATCTTCTCTTAGTCAGGCACCAGCTCATATGTATGGCAGTAGATTAAATCCAAATCCACCCATGGCAGTTCTCATAGCTCAGTCTGAAAGCAACCAAACAGGTAAAGCCCCTCCCTGGTGTAAACGTTCTCTGTGTTAAGTCATTTAAAAAAAAAAAAAAAAAAGAAAGAAAAGTTAATAGAGGATTGTAGTTTTGTTTTCTTTTTTTAAAAACCAAAAGAATCACAAGTAGAAGTAAGTAGGTGCTATGCTGCAGAGTAGTGATGTGTCTTTTACTTTCTGGAATGTAAATATTTAAGCTGAGCCATCAACAGGCAGAAGTGTGACAGTGTCTCTTGTGACAGATGTGTTCAGTCCTCAGTTCCATGCAGTGAAAATAACATAACATTGGGCTTTGTGAATAGCCCAAGCCTTTATTTGCATAATTCATGGAATTGAACTAGACAAACTTGGTTTAAAAAAATCCCATTAGAGAATTTCTACAGTATTTAGTTATCCTGTTCCCCCCCCCTTTTTTTTTTCTCCCTTTTAAACCCTGTTGACATTCATAGCATTTGCCTCTTGTACTGTTTTAATTGCCTCTGCATTTACTTTGTTTCATTACATTCCCTAAGAATTTGTTGACATGCTCAAGTAGTCATGCCTGGGAAGGGAATGGCTTTAGCAGTTGGCCAAGAACTCACTGTGTCTTTACCCTTCAAGGGTCTTAGAGTAAGGGGTTGGTGGTAACCTGAACAAGACTAGATAGACTGTAAAGGACTAGGATGCAAGGTACTTGACCATCTCTTATTACATATCAGCAATATATTTATCAAGGTTAAATTTTTTCATTTAATAAAGATATCTAGCTGTGTGTGTGTTTGTTTTTGTTTGTTTGTTTGTTTTTTTTTTTTTTTGCCAATTTGGATATATGGCTACATACATTTTAATTGGTGTGAAGAATCACTTAACAATTTTAGTCTTGGTGTATAGGGTTCTTAGAAATGTATTTTGTGACCTGTCTGGGATACGAGGTGTTAAAAAATACAAAGCATAAGGATTTGCTGTGATAAGCATACAGATTAGCTGTCTACAGCTGTGATTCATTACTTTAACCGTAGAAATTAAAAGTGGCTGAGGGGAGGGCAGTACAAATTCAAACCACGCTTCTGTGCTGTAAAACTGAAAGGAATGAAAGGACAGAACATAATCCATGGTCTTTTACACCCACAAAAACGTGTACAGACAACATTTTACACACCACAGTTTTAACAGCTCTTAACAGCAACAGGCCAGGTCTCCCACTTTTATAACTGGTAAGATTCTGGTATGGGCTTGATGTGTATTAGGAAAACTCAGAGCAAGAATTTGAAACCTCTTATTTAGTAAGAGAGCCACTTTCTCAGCTCTGAAATATTTACACTGCAGATCAAGATCTGGGAGACAATAGCAGAAGCCTAGTTGGTCGAGGAAGCTCACCCCGAGGGAGCCTCTCACCAAGGTAAGCCTTGTTTATACTGCAGGGCATAGGGAAGGGAGGGGATACATTGAGATTTGGAAACTTTGTTATCTTGAGCAGTAAAGTGTATATTTGTTGAGGCTATAAAAGCATTCTGTAGATAAGAAGCTTGTCTAGACCGTCAAGAAAAATGATCCTAAATTAATTGAAATGCTAATTTTAAACACATTGTTAGATTTCTAAGCTAAAAGGAATACATTTTCATATGTTTCTAATAAGTTTGAACTATTTATCATTTGTATATTTAGTTTCTGGAATGATTAATACATTGACTTGGGTGACTTTTTTTAAAATCATAAAATACTAATCCATTAAGTTACAAACCCAGGACTGTAACTGTTGGGTTACAACTTTGGCTGGGTCTCTAGTTGCTACCCCACAAATGAAGCTCTTTAAAGTCTCTCTAGTTCCTTTTAGACTGTTTGTTAGTCAGTGTTATGTGTTATCATTAAATTTTCTTAGGTTTTAGGTAATATCCCACCCCGAACCATCCACTACTATGAACTTTATCAGAGTGGGATTATGGAACCTTATAACTTCTGCTCTAAATGGGGGGAATGTTGTGGGGGAGTGGGTGTCAGTTTATAGAAGGGCATGGACTTCAGTGATGCCTGCCTTTTTATTCTGTTTTCAACTTCTGCATCTTTCTCTAGTTTGTTTTTTCTGTGGTCTCCAGTGTTATACACTTTGTCTCACATTAAGTTGGTTGAGGATAATAAAAACCGAAGTCAGTCCTTGGTTCTTTTCATGTAAGGGAAGTATTCCACTGAGAATTGAGGAATCTTTGTATTGTGACACAAGGAACATTTGTGTTGCCTACCCAGTTGGGAATGTTTGTTAAGGAACACACTCTTTATCCTTGTAGACACTAGTCCTATGACATCATCCATTTCCAATGGTATATCTAGTATACCTTCCTCATGTAATTCCAGTAATAGTAATGCTGTTGTTCCTTATTAAATTCTGGAGAAAACATTTCCTCATTTGGAAACCAGGTATCTGAACTATGTAAGTTACACCATTGTTATATTTCTATACTGTTTAAGTTTTTCTTTTCAAATGAGACTGTTAATGGAGTTTTGCTCATGTTTAATACTGGAAGAGTTTCCTTGTCCCCTTTTAAACTTAAAATATCACACAATGCATTCAAAATTGTTTAGTGCGATTTTGCTTAGTGAAACTTATTTTTTTTTTAAACAGGCCATAGCACAATGAATGGTACTAAATTATTTTTCGTATGCATTTAAAATGTTACATTACTCTGTAAACATAAGTCTGGAGTGGTAAAACTAACCCTTGTATAATGTATTTGGAAAGTGGTGGCCAGCTCGTGATGCGTGTATGTAGAATAGAAGGCCTTACTACTTGAAGTCCTTATTTTAGGCCAACCCAAGAGCACTAGTGCATTGCTAGAAGATGCTCTTTCCCATCTGTGAACAAGCCAGAGACCAAAGATAGCCCCGTTTATTAATGTAAAACCAAAGCTGGACATAGAGAAAATTTTATGTGCATTTTCATTCAAGAAACACTTATTTTGGCAAGGTTAAGATCTGTTTGAAGAACTAACCTAAGACATTTAAAAAATACTTGTATGATCTATTCTACACATGAAATTGCTTTGGACTGAATGATTTTCCTTAGAACTGAAACCGATTTTCATCTTCAATTCAAAAATCATTAAATTTTTCTTTTTAATTGATCTTTAGGATTTTGTTGTGAATTCAAATGCCCCCACAGTGTTACACTTTATATTAAGACACAGTGATAGACTTTTTCTGGCTGTTTATTTTAATGTGTATGTATGCTTTGCCTGCATGCATGTATGTGTACCACGTGCCCAAGGAGTACAGAAGCGTGTATCAGATCCTCAGGGATTAGAGTTACAGATGGTTGTGAGCCACCATGTGTGTTCTAGACACTAAACCTGGGGCCTTCTCCCAAAGCAGGAAGTGCTCAACCCCTGAGCTATCTCTGCAGCTCCAGCCCTCCTTCCGGGTACTTTAAAAGTTCTCCTAATGACTGCCCTGTAGTTTATTTAAAAATAAATAAATAAATAAAAAAGTCACAGGCCAATTCAGAGGTTATTAGCAGTTTTCTATTGTTTTTTTTAAACTATCTACTATATTCAACTACATTATTTTATAATTTGAGGAGGAAGGCTGGTAATGATTCATTTATGGTTTCATGAGACCTGATACCTCTTCCACTTGGTTGAGAAAAGTTGTACAGGAAGGGGGCTCTTAGCATGATGCAAGAAACTGATACACAGTTACTTAGAAGCATTCCCTTGTTTTGTAACTTAAGAATTAATATTTTTGACAGATCCCCTGTGAGCAACTTACAGATTCGCTATGATCAACCAAGCAATAGCAGTTTGGAAAATCTGCCTCCAGTAGCAGCAAGTATTGAACAACTTTTGGAGAGGCAGTGGAGTGAAGGACAGCAATTTTTATTAGAACAGGGTACTCCTAGTGACAGTAAGTATTCATCTTCTTGTGTCTAAAAATGGAACAACAGATAGATTAATGTGTGCAGAAGAAACTATTTACCCAAGATAATGACATTATGGCATGCTCTTTATATAATTAGAGAAGTTTTGGTGCTATGCTTTGACAGAGCCGACTCTATAGTGTTTGTTTGGTTTGGTTTCATTTTTAGTTTCTTTAGTCTCTTATTTGTGGAATTAGGAGTAAGACTGTACCTGTATCCTAGGGTTGTTATGAAGATAAATTACATGAAAAATAAGTGCTTTTTGTTAGCTGGTTATTGGTTGAAATACAAAGTTTCTCCTCTCCCTCTATCATATGATGTACCCTTTGTTCTTGTCAGCCTGTGAAAAATGCACAGTGTCCTCTCAGGCCACTCAGCAGTCAAGGGCTCTGGATGCTCTAAAAGGACCCGTGTTCAATTCTCAACCCATATGGTGGCTCACAACTGTCTATAACAACTGTTCAAGGGGATCACGCAGACATAAACATGCAGGCAAAACACCAATGTACATAAAATACAAATTTAAGAAATTAGAAAAATGTATCTAGTCAGGTATAGCTAGGTATTATCTATTTTACAATTTAAAGGAGTAGTAATGGTGATAGTCATTTCTAATTCTGGCACTCAGGAGGTAGAAGCAGGTGGTACATGCCTTTAATCCCAGCATTTAGGAAGTAGAGGCAGGCAGATCTCTGAGTTCCAGACCAGTCAAGGGCTACTTGGTGAGGCCCTATTTCCCCCAAAAGGAATAGTAATTAGCATATTTTAAATTTAATTGGAATGTTAATCATATTTATGAAATTATATAGTATATGTTGTATATACGTATCTAGTACTTCTTGTTTTAAGTATTAAAACCATGGGGGAATATACCCCCCCCCCAATAAAAAGCCAAGTTGAAACAGGTGAAGGAGAAAAAAGCAGGTGATTTCTATCAATTTTACACAGAAGCTTCCACTGTTTTATTTTTTGAAAACAAGGCTTTTAAAAAATTTCCTGCAAGCCAAGTGGCTTTAAATTGATATTTTTATGAATAGTGCCCTTACCTAAAACTGCTGTTTGTGAGGAAATTGATGTGGGGATAACCTTTTACACCTTAGCCAGAGGACAGGTTATTTTGTCTCATCTGAGCACCTTAAGGGGGATAAAGTTACATCTTGTACTGCTACAGCTGTGTCTTTTGAAGGCCCTGAGGTCATGTTAAGTAAATACAACTTTTTAATACCTGGAGTTTTTAAAGTGTCCATCACTGGCCTAACAGCAGTGCTCTTGATTGTCAGTTGGAAGTCCCAGCCTTGGAGGAATTAACATTGTATCTGAGGTGATGTGGCAGGGCAGGAAGCTTGTTAACAGATGAAGCCTGTCTTTCTGAAGAGACAAGTAGCAGGGTGCAGATGCAGCGCCCCCTGCTGGGCATCCTGCAGAGAGGCAGATTGAGCAGCTAGAATGAAAGGCTTTCTGCCAGGTGTCTGGTGGCATGCTTGGTTTTTGTTGCTGCTGCTGCTACTGCTGTAATTGCTTTGGTTTTTTTGAGGAAAATAAAATGCCATCGTTTCTGTGAGGATAAAAACTACTTGAACCTGATTGTGGAGTTTTGTTTATTTGATCAACATTGGCCCCAAATCTTTTCTTCCTTTGTGTATATATTTCTAAATATAACATGTTTATATATACATTCAAATCTAGTAATAAGCCTTAGTCATTTAGTATTGGTTTACAGAATTTGCACATTTTTATTTTGTTTCTAAAGAAGTTGACACTGACTGCATAAGTCTTAGTCATGGGAGTAGAGCTGTCTTTACTAAAAATCACACAAATAATTTGCTAGTTTTAGGAATGCTGAAGTCGTTACACCAACTTCAAGTTGAAAATCGAAGATTAGAAGAACAAATTAAAAACTTGACTGCCAAAAAAGAGCGTCTGCAGTTACTGAACGCACAGCTTTCCGTGCCTTTTCCAACAATAGCGACCAATCCTAGTCCGCCTCATCAAATACACACGTTTTCTGCACAGACTGGTGAGTGTGAAAATACTGGACTCCTAATGTCATCTACATACTGGTTAGTAGTTATGTTTGGTTATAGTAAATAAATGGTGGGTTATTTCTGAGGGACGTAGACAATCCCTTCTAATTTTCTTGAGTTTTGTTTTCACTTCGGTACATAGTTTAATGGTAAAATTCATTTAAATGTAATGATTTCATAATTGATTCAAAACTATGGTATTCACCCCCCCCTCCTGTTTAAATCAGTTTTAGGAATAACAGGACCATTTAAATCAGTTTTAGGAATAACAGGCTTCGGCATATGCTTTTAAAGTAGCATTTAATCTTACAGATAATACAATTAATTTGACAAGGTACATGATTTTTTTTTATCTTTTACTATTTCTAGCTCCTACTACTGATTCATTGAACAGCAGTAAGAGCCCACATATAGGAAACAACTTTTTACCTGACAATTCTCTCCCTGTGTTGAACCAGGTAATTTTTATGGTTATGTTCAATTTTGTGTTTTACTTGGAAACAGTAGCATATTACATTCAATGATGTAAAATTATTTTAAACAGTGTTGCTGTGCTCTTTCCAACCTGTGTTTATTCTTTCCTACACTAGGACTTAACTTCCAGTGGACAAAGCACCAGCGGTTCTTCTGCTCTGTCTACCCCCCCGCCTGCTGGGCAGAGTCCAGCTCAGCAAGGCTCAGGAGTTAGTGGGGTTCAGCAGGTCAATGGTGTGACAGTAGGGGCGCTAGCTAGTGGAATGCAGACTGTAACATCCACCATTCCTGCCGTGTCTGCAGTTGGGGGAATAATTGGAGCTTTGCCAGGTAACCAACTGGCAATTAACGGCATTGTAGGAGCTTTAAATGGTGTAATTCAGACCCCTGTCACAATATCCCAGAATCCTGCCCCCCTTACCCACACCACTGTACCACCTAATGCAGCACATCCAATGCCTGCTGCTGCACTGACTAACAGGTAAGAAACTTCCTTCAATACAGGTTTCATTATTCTTTTTTTGGGGGGGGTATTTTCCATGCAGCATGTTATCAGTGTTGTTCTTGTTCTGGGTTAGGATTTTTAATGAATTTGGTAGATGTTCTGTAGGAAAATTAGCTTCTCAAACTCATTGAGTAAGTGTTTGGTACAGTATTTTTTTTTTTTCCTTATAATTAAACTGATACAATTCAGTTCAATATCAGTTTCAGTAACATAATGTAAAATACATTCTTTGTTGAAAATGTGAGTCCCAGTCTGTGATATCTCTTTAAATGTTACATTCTCTTAGTCATATGTTTATCTTACTGCAAAAGATATTACTGTGGCAGTCATGAGATACTATTGGTTCCGCAAAGATTGAGCAGCACAATTTTGATATTCTCTAATCAAAGATTCTGATGAAGTGAGGGATAGGTGATTATTATATATACTTCATTACAAACACATAGATTATGTTTCTTAAGTTTGTGCCTATTTAACTACTGGGCAGTGCATTCCTTTTTAGTTGTATACACATGCATAGGCAAAAAGAATAATTTGTACATAATGAAGTGTTATAGATAAAACTGAGTTTGTTAAATACTCACTGAAGAGGCTGCCTTTCGTATCACCTGAAAAGCCTGCAGTAGAAGTAAGGATTGCAATGGTTTTTCAGTGCCTCTGGATTAGGATTACTGTCCGACCAGCAGAGACAAATGTTTATCCAGCAGCAGCAGTTCCAGCAGCTATTAAACTCCCAGCAGCTCACACCGGTAAGTTCTTTGTGTTGACTATATGTTTGTATTTTTGGTCAGGGTCTAGTGTTGTAGACTGAAATGCTGATTATGGTGTAGGCTTCTCCATTGTGAATGTGTATCCAAAAAGTTGTCTTGCCCTTTGATATAACCTGTACCATCACATTGTTGATTGCTTTACAAATGTTAGAACATGTATTGTGATGCTGACTAGGCTCTGGGGATTGGAATACAAGCTGTATTTTCCTGGTAGTTCACTTTAAGGGATGGTGGTGAGGAAGGCAAATGAGATGGGATGAGGGCATCAAAAGGATGAAGGTGAGGGCCATTTCACTTCTTTTGTGGTATTGGGAGGAGAACCCAGGGCTTCACATGGTAGGCTTGCTGGACTAGCATTCTACCATGACACTCCATCACCAGCCCCAGTTTGAGATGGATTTGTCCAAGCTTCATGGGAGATGGCATTTGAACCATATGTATCACTGGCTGGTTTTGAATTCATGTCCTTCAGCCTCAGTCCCCTCAAGTGCTGGGATTTTAGGCATGTCTCAGCAAACTTAGCTTTAACTATGTCTTAAAAACATAGGATGACCTATACATCTGATAGTTATGGGATAGGGCAACACACGCCTGTAATCCTAGCATGTGGGAGTTGAAGGTCAGACTAACTGTGTGAGACTGTCTCAAAAAGCCAAAACCTCACCTACAGTTGTTCCTGCAGGGAAGGTAATAGACTCACAGTCACTCTCCTGTGTCTCCCTTTCTTAGCAGTCACATCTGACAGTAGATCATTCTCTGCAACTGCTGCAGTCTCACGGTCCTATCTAGCTAGTCCTTTCTTGTTGCCCATTTTGGGCCTTCCTTCTTACTTAAAAGTTGAGTTCAGCAGTGTTCTTCACTGTCAGATGTTTCAGTTTGGTCCATGTGTAGATGTTTTCATCTTCAGAGTAGACTTCTGTCCAGGGAAGTCCAGAGCATCCCTGGATCTCCCTGCTTACTACATAGCTGCACTTGTATGTGAAGAAGCAACCTGCCTGCCTGCCTGCCTGCCTGCCTCCCTCCCTCCCTCCCTCCCTCCCTCCCTCCCTTCCTTCCTTCCTTCCCTCCCTCCCCCCTTCCTCTCTCCCTTCCTCTCTCCCTTCCTCTCTCCTTCCCCCCAAGACAGGATTTTTTCTGTATTGCTTTGGACCCTGTCCTGGAACTCGCTCTGTACACCAGGTTGGCCTGGAACTCACAGAGATCGCTTGCCTCTGCCTTCCAAGTGCTGAGATTAGAGGCATGAAGGCGTGGGCCACCAATACCTGGCCCTATCTGCCTATTTTCTTGTTTGTTTATTTTTGGTTTTTTGAGACAGAGTTTCTTTTTGTAATAGCCCTAGCTGTCCTGGAACTAGCTCTGTAGATCAGGTTGGCCTCAAAGTCACAGAGATCCACCTGCCTCTCTACCTTCCAAGCACTAGGATTAAAGGTATGTGCCAGTACCTCCTTGCTCGTTATTTATTTATTTAATCTATCTTTTTTTTTTTTAAAAAAGATTATTTATTATTTATACAACATTCTGCCTCTTGTATGCCTATGTGCCAGAAGAGGGCGCCAGATCTCCTTATAGTTGGCTCTGAGCCTCCATGTGGTTGCTGGGTATTGAACTCTGGAAGAGCAGTAAGGTATCTGTCTCTTCAACCCTCTTCTTTAAACAGGTCTCATTATATAGTCTTGGCTGGCATGACACTATATAGATCAAGCTAGCCTGGGAATTCATAGAGATCTGCCTGCCTCTGCTTGGCAAATGGTGGACTTAAAGGTGTGTGCCATCACAGCCAGCTCTTGTTTTCTTAATAGTGTGAACATGGTTTACTTTTAAGTAATGTTGTAAGAGAAAGGAATGGAAGGGATATTCTCTTGCTTGCTGTGTCCTGGTTAAAGCTCATCTTTTCTCCATTTCTGCTGAAGGAACAGCATCAGGCCTTCCTGTATCAGCTGATGCAGCAGCAGCAGCAGCAGCAGCACCACCCACCTGAGCTCCAGCAGCTGCAGCTCCCTGCGCCCACACAGATCCCCATCAACAACCTCCTTGCAGGCACTCAGGCGCCCCCACTTCACACAGCCACCACCAACCCCTTTCTCACGATCCACGGGGACAGCACAAGTCAGAAAGTCACAGTGAGTATGTTTTGTGGTATTCCTTGGGAGGCAGGGATCATAGTAAGGAGAGATGGATGCTTTTTAGCCAGTAGTCCCTTCATAGAACCAGTTGATTTTGCAGCTGGATATTATAAACAGAGGGTCTAAGCCTGTTTAATTTACATGTCCCTTAAGTATATCAATTTGAATATGCATATAAGGTTTGAAGGCCATTTATAATATAGCATTTTCGAGGTATGAGACAGTCCATTCAAAACAGATTCTTTATTTTTTAAAAAGAAACTTTACTTTGGTTATAGAATTTTTCTCCCTTTAATTTTATATATGTTTCATTATTTTGTTCCAACATGCTTTTTCAAATGGAGTTACATGTTTGATATGGTAGATATACAAAGGCAGGACAATATTCTAAGCTTTCTAATAGATTCCTTAAAAAAGGAAATTGCTGAGCCAGAGAGATGATTGAGTGCTTGACAGGGCATCCAAAGCACCCTAGTTGAGTTTCCAGTACCCACAGCACAGCCATTTGTAACTCCTGCTCCAGGGGTTACATGTCCTCTCTGGTTTTTGTAGGCACCTAAACCATAACTCCACAGACAGGTACACACATACACTTAAATTCAAATCTTAAAAAAAAAAAATTGCAATCACAATTTTAATAGGATATAAAAGTTAAATTTATTGATTTTTATAATATGAATCATAGCATTTCACCCTTTGGGGATAAAAGTGAGGATGGGCGTGGCTGCACCAACAGCCAGCACACAGGGGCTCATGGTTTAGGACTGTTGCCTTATGTTAAGTCTCCCCTAACTACAGTTGAGGACAGACATCTGTGAGAGGAAGGGATACTGCAGTATTGTGGAGGACAGGTGCCAGGAGTGTGAAGGCCAGACAAGGACTGGAGGTCAGGTGGGCAAAGGACTTGCAAATGTGAGCACTGATATTACCGTGTTCCATTACTTTGAGGTTTTCCTCTTTTGGTTTTAATTTTAACCTTCAAAAACATTGGTTTTCATTTAGTAATGAATACTGACTGGTTCAAAATCTGGGCTAATTGTTTGTCTTTTTTCTGTGCTTGCTTTCTTAGTGTGAGTACTCTCCTTTTCCCTCATCTATGATTCTGTATTTACATGGACATTTCCCATGCTTTTGCTTGTGGATTTTTCCATATTAAAAATCAATGAATTATAGGCTAGTTTTATCCAAGTTGTGCAGTATGAGATATTTTAAATGAAAGAGAACCACAATAAATAATTGGAGAATAACCATCCTCCTGGGGTGTTGGCATATGGCCTCCTATAAGCTGCTTGAGTGGCTGAAGAAGGGGACCATGGTTTTTAGGCCTGAGTCATATAGAGAGACCTCATCCATCTGTCTCTCTACTTCCTGCCCTTTACCCCTTCTCAGAGGAAGGGTCTCTACACAGTCTTGGCTGTTTTAGAACTTGTGTTAGGCCAGGCTGGCCTCAAACTCATAAAGGTCCACTGCCTCTGCTTCTGAGTGCTGGGATTGCAGGTGTGAGCCAACTATGGCTGGCTGAGGCCCCGTCTCAAACAACAGAGTACTAACAGGAAAGCTGGTCAACAAGGGAGGTACCAGCGTCTGTGAAGTACACTGTCATTTGATTTCAGTCGTTAAAATAATAGGTGCAGTCCCACTTAGTATAGGCAAGAGGTAAAAGAGGTCAATGATGAGAAAACATACATCATTGGGGTCAGAATGATGGCTTTCTCGGTCCATAAAAGTGAAGTGTTGGCTATACCTTGTTCCCCCCGTGGAAAGGGAGTGAATTCTGTGTCCTTCATTGGGCACTATATTCAAGGACAGACATACCACCTTTATGCCCAGTGTGGTGTTTTTAATCTTAAATACTCACTATGCTGCAAAATGGCCAATTCAGGATAAATCCTAACGTGTGCCACATTAGATGAGTTCCAATTTCAGTTAGAGGGTATTATCTCAATTCTTGAGCAAAATTGACTGAACTAATGCATTTACTTTGTTTTGTGAATCACAGAGACTTAGTGATAAAACTGGGCCTGTAGCTCAAGAGAAAAGTTGACAGCATCTTCTGGACTCCCCTGCTGTCCTGCACTCCCCAGTTGCTGTAGAACTCTGCCACAGCTATGAAGGAAGGCGGCAGGCTTGCACAGGGAAGGACGCCATGCTTGCTCTTGTAAGGGTTTGCTTAATTTTCTTGTCACTTTGTTGCACTGAAATGAAATTACTATATCCCCATCCCCTACCAAAGTGGTTCAACTTTGGAAGAAAAATGAGTAACTTTTTGTCAATGAAATAATTCACTTACAGAGTTTATCAACCCGAGAAAAATGGAATGTGCTCAGTTGCCCAGCTGGTTTTGTTATAAATTAGAGACACAAATGGTAAAACTAAAGACTTACTTCATTTGCAAACCACTTGGTTTTATTGTCAAAGTTGGAATATGAAATTGGGATCTCATTTGGAATAGAGTGTGCTTGCTCTATGGGGCGGAGCTTAAGTTTTGAGAACTGTCCAATTTCTTCTCCTGGAATTGTTTCATTAACTGTTGTGATTATACAGATCCTCAACTGGGGCTTTGCAAATGTTGTCTTAAAAAATTCCTTTCTAATGAGATTTGTCCATTTGGTGATTAAATTAGGACAGAAACACCTGCTTCTGCTGACAGTAATTTTCTCTTGCAAAAAAAAAAAAAAAAAATGCTTTTCTTATTGTTAAAACCTACTCTATTTAAAGAGATCTTGAGTTAAGCGAATTGTAAGGCTGCTGGGAGAACCAGATCAATTGGAAATGGATAATTTTTTTTTCAGAAAGAGACACCAATGTGGAAACTGCTGGTAGGGTCTGGCCTTAATCAAGTGCCTGTACGGACCTGCACAGATGAAGGGCTCTAGACAGCAGGGTAGGCCTCTGGTACCAGCAGCCTTCCCCGTGCTTCTGCCTTTGTTGAAACTATGCCACTATCGAGAGCTCATGCAAACTATTACCTGGGTATTTGTCCACTAATGACTCACAAGGAAACGAGTGGATTTGGGAAGTATACATAATCAGCCTCTCAGAAGTGCCCACTGGAACAAACGGGCCACCACAGTTGCTAAGACCTACCTGTCTCACAGCCATTTGACTTTGGGTAGTCGCGCTCTTGATTGTGACAAGATGGCCGGCTGGTAGGTTAAAAAGTTGGGGATACCATCGTTGATCTGTTTGTGAATGCATGACTTCCTAGTGGAAAGACCCAGCTGCAGTTGGACCTGCACTGAGTGCTTAGCTGGAAGATCAAGCTAGCACCGCGGCCTGCCTCCCGGTGACGCTGCAGTTCTTACCTCACTTCTGTAAATACGGTTTGTGAATCTGTTTTGTAATGTGAAAAATTCATAAGATAACATTGATATTTTGATTTGTAATATTTCTAATTGGTAGATTTAATTGAAAAGTAAAATTAATTTATTTTTATATGTTCAGGGGAATTTTAAAGAAAGTCAAACCTTTTGTAGATAATTTAAAAGAATCAGTGTGGTTTATTTTACTGATTTAACCCACTGGTTGTTATTCTGTAACAATTTGTATAAATGGTAAATTTCGAATGTGCTGTTATTTTACTTAGATGTAAAATTCCACATGTATTAAAATGTACAAAGTTTTTGTTAATAAAATTTAATGATGTTTATAGCCCTGTGCCTGTCTTTTTCTGAAAGGTGACTGTCCTGAACCCATGGCCCCTCATGTGTGCAGAGCTTGTTGTAAGTGTCAACACAGTACCATCTTGGAGTTGTTCAACTTGTCAGGGGTAGCTGTGCGGAACGACAGGGAGCAAATGAGCTGTGTGCAGAGACGGAAGGTGATTGTTGAGAAGAGTGGGTGGGGCGTGTCCATAGTAAGAGGAAGGAGAATCCACTCCAGAGGAGGTGTTTAAGTAAAGCATATTGATAGAGTATCATGCACACTTGATTGAAGACTAAGTTCACTTGTTCACAGAGTAAACTAGGCTTTCTCTGAAAGAGAATACAGATGTTTTTAATGACCCTTGGGTAGAAGTGTGTGTAAGAGTTGGACAGAAAAACCCGATCCTAGGTTCCTATTTTACTTTAATTGAGACAGGGGACTTACGTATTTTGGTCCACTCAACTCAGTTTGTAGTTGGCCTTGAACTTGTGATCCTTTTTGCCTTTGCTTCCTGGGTGGTGGGCTTGCAGGTATCTGCTGTCCCACCTGGTTTATGTGATGCTATGTGAGTTAAATATCCATCCTTGAGCCCCCATCTTTATTACAGACTGAATGCTAGGTTTATGGAAAGAGACAAATGGAAATTTGACTTTAGAAGTCTTTTCTAGCTGGGTGGTAATGGGTGCCTCCTAAGGCAGAGGCAGGTGGATGGATCTCTGTGAGTTCAAAGCCAGCCTGGTCTACAGAACGAGTTCATGGACTGGCTCCATAGCTACTGAGAAATCCTGTCTGTCTTGGTCTCCCCCCCCCCCCAAAAAAAAATGTCTTTTCTGTTACCCATATGTGGAGATTCACATCTGCTAACCCAACATCAGATGCTTCTGCAGAGGACCCAGGTTCAATTCTCAACATCCACATGGTGATTCAACTATCTGTAACTCTACTTCTGGGGTGTCTGAAACCCTTTTTTGAACTCTGGCCACAAGGTGTACAGATGGTACATATGCATGTGTGCAGGCAAACATTCACCCAAAATGTGTGTGGGGGGGGGAATGATTTTTAAATGGGAAGACCACATCTGGTTTTCAGTTGGCAGCCCTGGATCTATAAGCTTGTTCTACCCTGCCTGTTCACCCAGATGTTAAACTATCAACCAGCAAAAGGAAGGCAGCATACTCCCCATAGCTCACTGGACAGTTCCTAGGAGCAGAGATCCTGACTTCAAGGAGGGGTCTTAGGATGAAGAATCCCTTTGCTGTTGCTAAGTGGGCCATGTAGTTCTTTCTGATGGAACTCCAGAGACAGGTACAGCTGGGCTGGTGGCACATGCCTGTAATGCCAGTACTGGGGAGGTAGAGGCAGGAGCTTCAGGAGTTCAAGGTCATCAGAATTCAAGGTGATCCAGGTTCAAGGCTCATCTGGGCTACTTGAGATATAGTCACAAAAACCAACAGAAAGAAAATGAACCCACCACTCTGGAACTGTCTTTGTGTGTAAATTAAACAAAGTTTTTAGAATGAGATGCCTTCTTCTGCACTGGAGCTGGGCTTTGGAAATGGTAAGCAATTGTTTTCACTCCTGAGCTGTGTCCCCAGACAGGAAGCTCTAAGTCTGTTCTATCCTATTCCTTTGTCTATATTTGCAGCAAAGGAAAGGACCCCAGCAGAAGAGACTAGCTAAGAGAAAGCTTCCATTCCTCCTCCCAGTCTTTATGACACACGTACACATGCATAGCCGGTTTTCAAACAGTTTCCCTGTTCTTGTAGTAACTTGAATAAAGTGGTATACATGAATGAGTTTAGATTTTTTTCCTAGCTAAATTTTGTATTGTTTGCTTAATTTTGTGGTTAATCTGTATGGTTCCCACCACATGGACACCTTGGCCGCCTCTGTGGGTGTTCTGTGGGGTTGGGAGAGGTAATGGGGGTGGGGGACCTGGAGTGTGGGCCTGATGGTAGGGCAGGAAAAAGATTTGAATGTACATGCAGGTAAATTTGTGCTGGCAGCAGCTGACCATGGCAAGAGGGAAACATAGATGTGGGGAGAGACTGATGGGAAAACTGAGAGACAGGCAGAGGTCAGAAGACAAACATGCCAGTAGGACCTCAGGGAGCTAGCTCATCATGTTACTCTTCACAGGCCTCTGCTTTCTGCAGACTTGGATCCCAGGAGCAGCGTGAAGTGTCCTTTACTGGGTTTTCTGGTTGGGGTCACAACTCTTACTCACCCGAGACACAGTCCTGGCTTTGTTTCTAGATTTGTGTAGGGAGTCAATGGTTTAATCACATGAGCCCATGTAAATGTTACATAAGAATTATCTGTGGCAGGTAATGTCTGTTCTCCCAGTTGTCTGTAGCTTGAAGGGTAGGGAGCCACCGTATAACAGCAAACCACCTACCCTGTTCTCCAGGGTCCCACTGTAGTGATAGATGTGCCTCCACACCTGTAGAAAACAATGCCCCAGTTCAAGTGATACAGACCCGGCCACCCAGATGCTCTCTATGAATGAAGCCGGCTTTTGACCCTAGAACTTTTCCTTTTAACCAGTCACATCTGCACCTGTGGCCACACCCGAAAGGCGTGGTCAGTGCTACAGATGGCAAGGTCTGTATCCCTGGAGCACCTCTTGTTTTCTGTGTAAGTTCTTTTCCCCCAAATAAACTCCACTTCATATATACAGAGTCTAGTGAATCTTGATTTCCACGCCCATTATCTGGCCCACCTGGGGTGATTTGAAGAATTCAGGGGAGATCATGTGGGCATCCTGTCCTGCTTCCCTGCCTCCCTCCCCTCTCACCCCTGTATGCTAGTTAGTTTTCTCTGTATCAAGACCAAGGCAAACTTCTTGGGGGATGGTATCATTTGGGCCTGTGGTTCCAGAACTATGAGACTCCGTGGTGGCTGAATGGAGGTGGTGGGTCCAGCATAGCCATCAACAGGAGCCACACGCAGGAAACAGAGCTAACTTGAGATGGCTTTTGGAACCTCAAAGCCCACCAGCAGAGATATACTTCCTCCAGCAAGGCCACACCTAGTTCTGTTCTCTCCACTAAGCCATGAACTATGGATGTCTTAAGGTTCTATTGCTCTGAAGAGACACCATGGCCATGACAACTCTAAAAAAGGAAAACATTTAATTGAAGTGGCAGCTTACAGTTCCAGAGGTTTAGTCTCTTATCACGGTGGGACATGGTGGTGTGCAGACAGACCTGGTACTGGAGAAAGAGCTAAGAATTCTCCAGTTAAATATGAAGGCAACAGGAAGTGACCTGAGAGACTGGGATGGCTTGACCATATATGGAACCTCAAAGCCCGCCTCCACAGTGACTCACTTCCTCTAACAAGGCCACACCTCCTAGTAGTACCACTCCCTATGAGCTTATAGGGGCCTATTACATCCAGACCACAATGGACCAACCATTCAAATGTCATCTGAAAGACATTTCATCAGAGCACCAGGATGACAGGCATGTAGCACCACACCCAGTTTTTTTGGGGTTTTGGGGATTGAACTCTGCCCTTCTTTAATGCTAGGCAACTATTCTACCAGTTGGGCTACAGCCTCAGCACAGAATTTGGGGGCATTTATGTGTACTTTATTTCCATAAGAGACTACAAAGAAGACTGCTACTGACTTTCTGGGTTAGAGAGGCAGAGTCAGCCTCAGAAAATGCCTTGGGTGCAGTACCTGGGTGTACAGTGATATGAGCAGGGGTTTGGAGGTAGAGAGAGGACCAGGACAGGACACAGATAACTAGCCAAAAAGTGAGTGTCGGATAGCTAGTGGGAGGTCCACAAGTACTCACAGTGTAGGAGCACTACACAAAACCAAAGGAGGTGGCCTCCTTTGACAACATGCCATAGGTGTATGAAAGCAGCCCTATGCTGGAAGCTGGAGGCTAAGGCCAGAGTGCCTGGGCCAATAGACAGCCCTCTTGTGTGCCTGGGCCAATAGACAGCCCTCTTGTGTCTGCACGTGAGAAGGGGACAGCTGGCTTTCTAGGGCTCTGCAGACTGGCCCCACCTTCAGGAGGCCAGCTGGGCCTGCTTGGGAAAGCT